CATACGTCTACCTACACTTTATAATAGAAAAAAATCTAAGATTTTTAAAAAATGCAGTTATTATTATGGCGTACATCTACTTGTGAAAAAAAGTATATCCGAATTCGTTATGTGATTGATTAGAGCACACTTATATAGTAATCTGTACTTTTTTTTTTATAACAAATATATATTTTAAAAATGATTTTTACGTAATTTTGTTGATTTAGAGTTTATATTCACAATAGTAATAATAATACAAATTCTATTCGAATTATTTGTAATAGTAATAGTAATAGTAATAGATGAAAAAAAGTATATACGAATTCGTTCGTTTTATAGACCTTTGTACTTTTTTTTTATAACAAATATATACAAATATATATAGGTGTATTGAAATTATCCAATAGATTATTTAACACTTATTATTAATAAAACTTTTAATTTTGGAATAGAACACTTTTTGTTCGCTATGCAAGACTAATACTAATAAATAAAAAGGAAACCTGTTTTATGAACAAGTTTACGTATTACACAATCACAAAAATTCATTTATTTTACGTCAACATTAAAGTTAAGTTGGTGTCTTCTTCATTGCTAAGAGCAAAAAATGACATCATTCGGGCCAAGACAATAGTAATAGTCTATTCTATTACGCTACTCGAATTAAATGTCCGCCTTTTATTATTGATTGAACTGTTGAAAATTTTTTGTATGGTAATATTAAATAAAAGTCCGCACTTTTTTTTTTGTAACACCAATGCCTCTCAGGCCATTTTGGCACATGGAATTCAACCTTCTACATTCAGCCACAACATCTTCAAGCCATCAAGATAAAACTCAAGTTTACAAATGTGTACGCATTGTGAGCACACTCAAATCGTAAGACCATTTATTATACAAAAATAAAAATACCGCTGCTCCGAGTGCTTGACTCAATCATTTATATATACAGCATATTCGTTTGGAGCATCAAAATTCGCCAATCATATTATAACATGAATAATAAAAAAATTACATAAGAAGGCCGAAAAGGCGAAAAACTTCTTTGCTTTACTTGATGAAAAAAAATGATTGAATATAAATGATTCTATATGAAAAAAATGACGATAAAAAAATATCACTTAACGATGTGCCTTCTCATCCACACCAATACAGTGTTTCATCAACCCTTGCCCGATTTGTCTCCATCCACCCATTATTATGGTAAATCAATATATGCGGTTTTTTTTATGGATGTTTACACGGAATATTGAAAGGGTGGCGAAAAATTTTTTTTTAAAAAAAAAAAACAATGAACAAAAGAAACGACAAAAGATAAGCATTTGTCTTTAAATAATGTATTTATTAACACAATATTTAAAAATGGAAATAATAACTCACTTTTCATGGACTAGATACATTTTGAAAAAAGTGTTTTTTATTATTCCCGTTGTTGCACTATGATGATTTTTGATCACGATTTTTTCACTATTGGTATTTGTTACCCTCAAAAGTCTCTGTACCAATAAACTAAAGATATTATACTACACTATACTCAAAAAATGGGAATAATACCTCTCCTTTTCACAGACTAGTAGCATTTTGAAATTTTTGAAAAAATGAGTTTTTTATTGTTCCTATTGCATTATGATGATTTTGATCACTATTTTTTCACCATTGGTATTTGTTGCCCTCAAAAATCTCTCTGCACTGATAAACTAAAAAAATTTAGTGACTAGAACTTTCTAACAACAGTTAAAAGAAAAGGTTAGCTTAAATATTGGTTATTCTACGCCAGGTCCGAAACGTTTCTTTTCTTCACATTTATTTTAAGATTTTCTTCCTACTAGTATGTAAACTAAAATAAATTCAGCGGCAACAGTTGTGCCAAAGTGTTCCCTACAAAGTTGCTTATAACTACTTGAAAGGTTGTGTTAGAAAAATTTCGATTTTAATTATAAGGGACTGATTTATAATTATTTATAAGGTTATTAATTTATTATATATGAAATGAAACTATCATAGCAACACTATAATAAAAATGCTTAAAAGTTAAATAGCCTATTACTTCTTGAATATAACAAACAAACCTTGGTTTTTTACAAGTATAATCTGTGCTTATTATTAATATTATTTATTAACGCGATCATTAATATGAAATTAGATCTTATATATATACATCGGAATTAATGAGAGTGAATATAACAAACAAACCTTGGTTTTTTACAAATATAATCTGTGTTTATTAATATTATTTATTAAATATGTAAATAAATCGTTGTACTTGTGTTTTATCAATTATTCAAAGTTATATAGGCAGGTTGAAGTGTTAAAGGCAAGATCTATGAAGCTTGCAAAGTGATATATTATTTGTATATATATATATATATATATATGTATGTATAAATAAAACCGTTAATAATTATTAATGAAACTTTAACCAAAAAATCAACAAATTTTTCTTTTCTTTTAACTTATATAACTAATTTTTAAAAATAATTACCCAAGTTAACTGACATTATTTCCATTTTATTAATAGCCCTCCTTAGAAGAGTCTGTTATGCAAATTCATTTTTGTTTGAAATATTTAAATAAATATCACAAAGTTAATAAATTTTGTTTGATACAATTCTTCATCAGTGATATATATTATTATATCAATTTAGTTAGGTAAATGTACATTGTAAAAAAAAATTAATAATAGTATAAAAATGATCTTTAAAAATAGTTACCAATTAATAATCAGGTTCCATTCTGCGACGAACTCATTTAAAAAAGCAAAAATTTGAAGTTAATACTTTTCTATAAACAAATTAAAAACTAAATATTTGGAAATGAGAACTTAACTATTACATTTGTTATTATTATGTAAAAAAAATTAAGTCTAAAGATTGAAATTATGTACATTATCCAATTTCTTAATTTATTATTATTATTATTATTATTATTATAGAATTTATAGAGTTGGTTGACCAACTTCACATTAAGATTTTCTTCGAGTCTTATTTGTTTACCCTGGCAAAAAATATGTCAAAATAAAGGGGTTTCCATATTTTTTGCAATTCAAGGAACAATCTTGGTTGAATCGGGTAGGTTCGTGTATATGGGCGTGATTTTTTTCTTCAATTTTACAATTTTATATATATAATTATTGAAAATAATAATCAATGTTGGAAAATAAATATATTGGATATTATGGCATTTTATAATTAATTATTACCTTTCATTATTGTAATGAATCTGTTTGAGAATTTACTTCTGGTTCATATATTATTATTATAATTGATTACTAAGGTTTTCTGTCCTCTTAGTAGCCAAAATTGCCAAACACTTTGGACAAAAATTAATTTTTTATAGGCCAACTATTTTTTTATTAATGCCAAAATTGGGCAATACTATTTTTAAATTATTTAAATTAAAACAGGTTGATTATATAATTTTTTTATGCTCATTCTTTTAGAAAAGCCCCAATTATTGCTGAAGCTATTTTTTTTGAAAATGATTTGGTGTGGAAATCTTAATTGATACCAAATGAAAATGTAAAAAAAAAAATCTCTGTTGTCATTAATGTCTATTAATATGGCTCTTACCTTGATTAAAGACACCTGCTGTTATTGGTTATTTGCAGTAATGGTAACTACCATAGGGTAATTACTAAAGACACTTGCCGTAAATTATACATGTGGGCGAAACCCAGTGACACTTAATCATCGCGTGGTGGCAGCCAATCAGTTATACGGATTATATAATCATATGATAATCATGTGATGATTAAGTGTCATTTGGGTTTCGCCACATGTATACCGTAAATAATTGGGATGGTATCTACCATTGCCATAAATAATTGTTGGTAGCTACCATTTGTCGTAAATAGATACGGCTGCCGCAAATAGTTTTCAATTATTGTCATTAGTATTATTAGTCATATTAGTCACGAGAAAATTTTCTTGAATCGCAGTAACTGAATTGTAATTGATGAATTCAATTAGTCGGTTATTCATTCACACTGAAAGTAATGAAATTTGCAGCAGTCATAACTATTTGCGGCAGTCGCATCTATTTACTGCCGCCATATTTATTTGTGGCAGCTGTAAATATTTTATAACGGTAACTACCTTATTGGTAGTTGCCATTGCGCAAATAACCAATTACGGCAGGTATCTTTAAATATCAACAAAATGAAATCGTAACTTTGTAGAGGAAGGTCTTAGCTTCAAAATATGTTTTGTTTTTTATGGTGTTAAATTTCCATTTTGGAGTACTAAAAGGATTTACAAGACTGATAAAAGTTGCAGGACTAGGTGTCTTGCACTGTACAAAGATTCTTCTCGTACACAACCCTGTTCTAAACTACTTTCAAACCTCTAACCATGTGATTGTTATGTTAACCGGGCCCAAAATTTGATTGGTTATAAATAATAATAAAGCAAAGGATAAATGATGTTAATAATAATAATAAATCCGTATCACAATAGCCAATCAGATTTCGAGGTCAAGATTAAAATTATGATAATCGCGTGGTTAGATCTTCGATATAGGGGCATCGGAATAGTTTAGGAGTTTCGAAACGGCTTAGGAATTTGGGTTCATTTTCTAAACCAGTTTAATAATTCAATTATTAAGTGGTAATTAATTGTTATTATTACTATTATAAATATTATTATCGCTGCTACTATATACTACTATTCATAATATTATTACTATTATTAAGTTTTTTATTTGAATCATTTGTGTTGTAGAGTTAGAAACAGAATGTGCCATCGGGGTTTTTTAATATTCTTATTTTTGTTTCATTAGCTCTCGTTGGCAGACTTTGTATAATAATAAAAATTAAAGGATAACATTAATATATCACCTGATATTTGGATGGAAAAAATATAAACGAATGAATGATTTAATTTATTACATCCACACTGTACAAAAATATATAATAAATACATATATATAAATATAACTAGGGATCTTTAATATAAAAATATAAATATATAAAGAGAGTGAAAGAAAGAAAAAAGAAAGAGCATATATGAAAGCCCATTGAATCAATGCTCTATGACATCTACTTCTTCTATATCAATGTCAACTGCAGATGACATTTCACTTCCAATATCCTCTGAATTAATAGATTCAATTTCAGACCATGCATCTTCTGATGGATTAGGTGATGAATCGTGAAATAAATGTAGATGTTGTTGCTGGTTTTGTTGTAGAGTGATTTCATTTATATTATTATTATTGTGATTATCACCATTATTATTAATGATAATGTTATTATAGTTATTATTAGCATTATCAATAGATGATTGTAGGTGATGATTACTAATAATTGATAAATCTTGTGAGAGAATTGCTTGTGCAGCTGTGTCAGGATAAATGTTATTTTCATTGTTCAAAGAATGTTGTTCAACAACATCTTTTAATGAAATTTCATCACTGCTGTTATTGTCTAAAACAGTATTAGTAGCAGAGGTGTTGGTTTGTGTGTTAGTTGTGTGTGGTGTATTTGTTAGATCAGAATCAGAACTGGATTTTGAACTGATGGATTGTAAGTGTTGCTTCCTATTTTCAAGTTCTTGTTCTCTCTCCCTCAAAATCCGTTCTTCGTTTTCTATTTCTTTTGCTCTAGAATGTAATTCTTGTTCCAAAACATTAAGATATGATAACTTTTCTAAAAGTTGTTCTTCTTGTTCCTTTTAATTATTAAAATTTAATTTTTGTTTAGAAATAGTAAGCAAGCAATAATAATAATAGTATTAACATAAAAAAAAAAAACTTACTTCTGAATCATTTATACTCTTTTCACTTTTACTTTTTTTACCTGTACTTTTCCTTCTTTTCCTAAGACCTGTAGCGTTTCTACTAGATGAATCAGAATCATAATCATTTTCACTATCTGAATCCTTTGATTTGTTTTCATTACTCTTAGCTGTATAATAAACTGGAATTGGCTCATTTAAAATTTCATTACAAACTGTATAAGCTACAAAGCCAACTACCACAACACTAACTACTACGGTTGCAAAAACATAAGGATACATGTCTTTTTTACAAAAACTTTATTAAAAAATTGAAGCTATTATAAGAATTAAATAAATAAATTTGAGGATTTCGAAAGTGAAAAAAGGAGTAAATGAATGTGAAAGAAAAATATTAATATACCAAGCAAATTAAATTAAATTCATTATTTTATTTTTATGGATTAATAATATCACCCCAAAATTATATAACCCCCCCCATTCAATTATAAAAATTTTCACTTATCATTTGTAGATGATTGGACTTTATGGTTATATCTGGTGCGAAAAATCAAGGCGCTTTATGTTATTTGTTAGAAATAGATAATCAAGTAAAAATATTACTTGACTGTGGCTGGAACGATGAATTTAATTTAGATGATTTGAAGCATTTGAGAAGATGTATAGCTTTTTCCAACAAAAAATATACCGGCTGGCTCTGAATGGCAAACAAACCATTGGCGATGAGCAGTAATTATTTATAATGATTAGGCAAAACTTTGTGTACAAAAGGTTGACATTTATTAATTCTGTTCATCTATTCATTGCTATATTAAAAATTTTTATAAATAAGAGTTGCTAGATAGGTTGATGCCTTGTTGCTTTCTCACCTGATCTACCTCATCTAGGTGCTTATCCATATGCATTTGACTACTTTGGTCTTAATTATCCTGTTTATGCAACAGTTCCTAATATTCATATGGGTAGAATGTGTATGTATGATATTTATCAATCAAAAGTTAACGAAATAGAATTTGATACTCTTGCATTGGATAATGTTGATTTGGCTTTTGAGAGAATTAACGTTTTAAAATATTCTCAACCAATGATTTTAGGAGGTAAGTAAACAATCGAATCATATTATTTTAATACAATTCATTTCCATTTCATAACATTTATCACATTTAACAGGTAAATGTAAGGGTATAACAATCACTGCTTATTCTGCCGGACACACTTTGGTGGAACAATTTGGAGATAAAAAAGGACACTGAAAAGATTGTATACGCAGTTGACTATAATCACAAGAAAGAAAGGTTGCTAAATATCATTTGATACACACACACACACATATACATGAATAATATCATTATAATTTTTATTGAAAGATGTATAAAATGTCCTTAAATGTAGACATTTAGATGGAGCTGTTTTGCATAGTAATGGCGTTGTTTTAGATGCTTTAAGTCGACCTTCTTTAATGATAACTGATGCTTATAATTCACTTGTAATCCATCCACCAAGGAAATTACATGATACTGCATTATTCGGTACTGATTTTTTTTAAAATAAAAAATAAGCCAGTTATATTAATTATATATTTTTATGAAACAATAATGAATACATTACATAAAAAAGGATCAGTGTTATTACCAACAGATTCATCAGCATGTGTATTGGAGCTGGCTTATCTTTTAGATCAACATTGGGCTTTTTCTTATATATATATATATATATATATATATTGAATTATAACAAAAAATAATTTTTTTTTAAATTATACCATAGATATAAAGATTTTGCAAAGCATACAAGACCAAAGGTAGTACTTGCAAGTAATGTTAGTTTAGAAACAGGATTCTCCCGTGAATTTTATTTGAAATGTCAAAATCAGATATAAATGCTCTCATTTTAACTGACCATGGACCACCAAATTCTTTGGCAAGAAAATTATATTATGAATGGATTGTAATAGTCAACCAAGTCAAGGAATTGTTAAATCAGCAACTTCTTTGGATTTAACTATCAACTTGATGGTAAATTTACTTTATTATCTATTGTCCAAATGGACTGACTGCCTTAAAAAATTTTGTATTTATTAAATAATCTCACACAAATACATGTTTATTTATTTATCAAGATTAATAAAAAGGTTCCTTTAGAAGGGGTGGAACTTTTAGAATAAAAACAGAACAATGCAAGAAGCAGGAAAGAGAGGCAGCACAAGCAGCACTCATTGCTAAATCTTTGTTAATAATTGAAGATGAGACAGATGATGAAGAGTCAGAAGCAGGAGATGCAGACATGGAAGAATTATTGGCAAAACAATTTGGCCTTTATGTTCATGATGTGATAAAGTATGGTGGTTTTTTCAAACAAATGCAAAGTTATTTGATGTATCCATATATTGAAAAAAGGAAAATATGTGATGGCTATGGTGAAATTATCCCGCCTGATATGTTTAAAAGAATTGATGGATTAATGGAATCGGCGTTGAACCAATCGGTGATAGAGATGATATGGGTGGTGGTGATAGAGAGGAGGTAGTTATAGTTTTTTTTTGTTTCCCAAGAGCAATTTTAAACTTTAATTAATATTGTATTATAATACAAGCTTGATAAAGATAGTAATCATTCTTCTTTGGATTCCAATGTTCCAACAAAATATGTATCATATAATGAAGATGTTACATTCAAATGTCAAATACAATTTATATACTTGGAAGGAACTAATGACAGAAAATCATTGAAAACCATAGTACCGCAAGTACAACCTAGAAAATTAGTAATAAAATAATGTTTTTTAAACTTCTTGCTCTTTTATTCATAAATAGTTATGGATATGGTTATTATTAATATTTTTATTAATATAAATAAATTTATATGTATACATATATAGATTGTCGTACATGCATCACAAGAAGCAACAAAAGATTTTGCTCAAAGCTGTTTAGCTCTGGAATCAATGGCTAAAAACATTTATATACCAAATGTTGGAGAAACTTTGAATGTTTCAGCTGCATAAATTTCTATCAAGTCAAACTGACTGATGCATTAGTTAGTTTATTAAATTTTTCAAAGGTGAACCAAAATTAGATATAAATTTTTTCTTTGATAAAATTTTAATTGGTTATTAATATTATTTATATTATTCATTAGCTTGAAGATTATTCATAATGGGAAAATTTTCATTCCCACAAGACTATTCTCTCCCTATATTAGGTGCTATACCAATAGAAGAAAACACTAGTAATAATAATCCTATATTGTAGGTTATCAGAATTAAAACGTTTATTACAATCTGAAGGTATCACAGCTGAATTTAAAGGTGAAGGTGTGTTAGTTTGTAATGAAAAAGTTACCATTAAAAAGGTCAGTCAGTATCAATTATATATGGGGTCTTCTTTTTAATTTTTTTTTATTAAGGCTTAATTTTTTTATATTGAATTGACTATATAATATATATAGACTTCAATAGGTTAACTAATCCTTGAAGGTTCGCTATCAGAAGATTATTACAAGATTAGAACTATAATATATTCCCAACATGCTTTATTATAAAAATATACAATTTATATTAAACTTGTATATAATTAATAATTTACTTTTTTCACTTTGAAAAAATAAATTTTAATAAATAAATTTTTATTTATATAATGTATGTATATCATAATTTGCCTAAAAAATCATCGATGTTAAAAATACAAGAAATTTTTATAAAACATATATCAAGGGCCACTCTTATCACAAAAAAATTTAGCAATTCTGGCATTTGATGTAGATTTTTAATAATATAAAATTAAAGACCTTTGTACTTTGACACAAATAACTTTTTGTGAATTATATAATATTACTATTGTTGTATTTGTATTTACTTATTTATAAGAATTTTTTTTTTCAAATCTAGGTGATGGTAGGCTATGATACATTATCATTTTCTTCATTTACGTTTTTAATAATAGCGTTGACAACTCTACCAATAATTAGAGTGGATGGTGAAATAACATTTTCTTTTTCTACAATTTTTCCCAAACTTTCAACTGTTGCATAAATAATTCGTTGATTTGGTCGATCAGCATTCTCAACAAAAACGGCTGATAAATATTTTGGATATCCTTTATTCAATAATTCTTTAGACAATTCTTCAGCTTTACCAACTGCCATTAAAGCAATAAGTGTACACATTGGATTGTAATTAGGTACTTCTGGTAATTCTCCTTGAGCTGCTTGACCAGTCATTATAGTTACTTGGTTTGATAAACCTCTGTAGGTGACTGGAACATTTGCTGCCATAGGAGCTGACAATGCACTACTAATTCCTGCAATAACTTCTACCGCACATCCATTTTCTTTAAAAAATAAAACTTCTTCACCACCACGACTAAATAAGAATGGATCTCCTATTTTCAATCTAACTACTATCTTACCTTCTTTACAGGCTTTTAAACACCAACTTTGAAGCAGATCTTGTGCTTCAGCAGATCTTGATTTTTTCCCTTCATCTCCGTCACCTCCATTATCACCATCACCTGATTTTTTTGTAGGAGCCATTCTTACTTCACATTTAACCATTGAATATAAAGATTCTGGGATAAGACGATCTGTTATAACTAAATCTGCATCAAGTAATGCTTGTCTTGCTTTAAAAGTTAAAAGATCTGGATCACCTGGTCCTGCCCCCACTAAAATAACCTTTCCTTTTTTGTCAATTTTTAAATTCTGATCAAACTGTTCTTTATTTGATAATTGTTTAATTATTGATGAATAAGTTGGTGTATGATCTTGTTCATAAAATTGTAATAACAAATTAATTAAATTTTCGTCCAACAACTTCAATTCCTCCATTGTCCATTCTTCACAAATCCTAGACATCCAATTCATTCTTTTCTTGGAGGATTTATGTTCAGAATCGTACTGTCGAAGTTTTTGCCTTAACAAACCAACTTTCTCAATTGTATCTCCAATACCATTTGGTAAATTTTCTGCAACTTTGTTACGGATCATAGTTGCCATTTTAGGACCTTTCCCATTTGTAGAAACAGAAATCTGAAGTGGACCATCACGATGCTCTGCCATGAAATAAAAGTCACACATAGGTGGCACATCAGCAACATTTACTGGAATTTTTTTCTCTCTACATAACAAACAAATTTCACGCGATCTTTCTGGATTATCAATGGCTGATAATACCATATCAATACCCCCTTCTTCATCTAAGTCGTCGTTTTGAAATTCTCTGTTTATCCATTTATGAATTTGGTTGTTCTCAATACGATATCTAACTTCTTTATTTAAACCTTTTTCTGGACAAATTAAAATTATTTTTGCATCAGCTTCTAAGGCCTTTACAATTCTACTTGCTGCCACTTCACCACCACCTACAATAAGTATATTTTTGTCTTTGATGCGCCATGCAAGTAATAATGAACCTCCTGGTCTAATTGATGGAAATTCTTCAGCTGATGACATAATTGTGTGACTCGATAATTTTACACAAATTTGCATGTATATCATCATCCTTTAACTCAAAATCATCTTGGAAATTCCTATATATAGAACCCTACAAAAAAGGAAATTTAATTTTTTGTATATAGGCGTGACATTCAATAGTAATGTGATGTCATGTGATGATTAAAATTTGTGGTAGGAATTACAGAGCATTTACAGGACCGGGAAAACTCTACTTTAAAAAAAAATGCGACCACCTCACCATAGATTCGCATTGATAGAAAATGGAAAAGGTCACCTCTTTTATATTATTCGAAGAAAAAAATGTTATCGGTTACACTTGATTCGCATTATTAACAAGTTTTTAAAACTTAATATTAATTATTTTCTGATTCTAATTTGTGTAGGTATATAGACAAGACATTTCAACCCTAGTTTGTGATTTTCTTAAAAATACTTAAAATAAACCAAACAAAATAAAGGGTCATTCAAAATTGATAAAACCAACATTAAAATTTCTACTTGGTAATATTTATGTTAATATAGATAATCAACAACTCAAATCAAATGAAACTATTGATGGATTAAAAAATTTAATCTCTTGTTTTGGATGCATATCTTGATACAGAACTAACAGCCAATAAAAAGACTATTAACATACAGAAGTTCAGCTTTTTGAAACAGCAAGGCTGTGTTCTGATGAATATAAAAGATGTACAGAAAATTTTTATTCTGAGCCTATGTTTAGTAACATTATGATTTGTATGAGTGAAGATGTTTTAAAAGATTATCCAAGTGATAATGGAAATTGTTATGGAAAGGTATATTTATTATCAATAAATCAATCAATTATATTAATCAATCAGTAATATTTATATTAAGATTTATCTAGGTCCTATTGTTATTTAAGCTTACAAATTCCAATTATTTAAATGAAGATTTGGCTTTAATTCAGTGGTATGACTTTAAATATACAAATGATCTAAAAAAGATTTTATAAATATGAATGTCCTTATCTTTAAATTAATTAAGAATTATAACATTATTGACATAAATGCAGTTTCAAATGTTCATATTATTCTGCATCATAACCATCAGAATGCATTTTTTGAGATTTATTTTTTAATTCATTATATGTGTATTATTGCTATTTAACATAAAATGTCAAATTGATTTTATTTTACAGAAAGTAATTCTACATAAAATTTTATTATTATCAAATAATGCTCATTTATTATAGTAATATAATGATAAAAATTATTTTTATAATAAATAACAAATTGCAATATTTATTTTCATTATTTATTAAAAAATATTTTAGCAATCTAATGTTATTAATTATTAATTATTAAATAGCTGGGTTTTAAATAATATTATTTGCTACAATTATACTATCTATTGCATCTAAATAAGTAATGAATAGTAGTAATGTGCTATTTAATGCTATGAATAATAGTATAAACCTAGGGTCAAGACGAGAGGAGTCCATTAAAATTCAGATGCATTTAAATCAAACATTATTGATAAGTATTTTAATAATATAAATAATATTGTAAAAGGGATGGGTACGTACCTACATTAAACTTTAAGTTTAAGATTCGATCAATGAACTTTTCGTTGACAAAATTTAACTTCACTTTCTTCTGCGAGATGTATACAAACACGTATTACGTCAAAATATAAAAGTAAGGATTAACGTAGATCACATGATAAATTGTAAATAAAAATATTTTCTTTGATGGATTCACAAAACAGCTCTCAACATCAAGATGGTTATTGGAGTCAGAATAATGAATTTTCTTACTCCCACATTAATAACAACGAAATTAATAATGAACCAACTATTAAAGGTTAGGTTAATATATATAGATCTGTCTCATATATGTTACTGTTAACAAATCTATTTTTTTAATACTATTTTATAGTTGAAGCAAATGAACCAATAAACCGTGCATCAGATCTAGCCAATGATTTCTTATCTACTCTCACTCTCTCTACAGATTTTTATATAAAAACTGAAGAAAATGCTGATCAAATGGGTATGAGGCTTTTCTTTTTTTGAAATAAATATTTTTATATATTTCATAATTTCACAGGCAAACAATCTTTTCTTTTGTTTTATTTGAGAGAGGTGAGGTTTACATTGTAATTTATAAAGATTCCTTACCAAGTAATTATATTAATTGATTAGTTTAATGAAAAATTCTTTCTAAAAAAAATTTATTTCATCTGGGAAAAATGTATATACTTTTTTTTTGGTCATTAATCACATATAGTAGATAACCAAGATTCTATTTTCCTTAATATTTTCAACAAAAGAAAATTCAATTCAATTTTTTTGTATATATAAAACACAAAATATATATTTTTTTATTTTCATTTTTCTGTTTTTATTTAATCAGCGCAGCTTAGCATCGAACCTATTGAATATGTTTGCATGAAAGCTTGTCGGGATAATACATCAATTAGGACCTCCTCAATCTTTTTTTAGGTCATACTAATAAATTCAAATAATTTAATTTAATTTTTCTTTTTATATATACAAATGTTATTTTCATAATCAATGTCATGCCACTGTTGTTTAACAATTTTTCATACAAATGAAGACCAAATTTCTCATCATCGTGATCGTACTCATGAAAGAAGTGAACAACATCTATCTAAAGAAAATGATGATTGGGACAATCGCGAAAGGAAAAGAGATAGGGAAAAGGACAGAAATAAAGACAAAGAAATAGATAGAGATCGTGATAGAGAAAGAGACTTTGATAGAGACAGAGACAGATATCGAGAGAAAGAAAGGGATAGGGATAGGGATAAGGATAGAGATAGAGACAGAAACAGGGATAGGGATAGGGAAAGGGATCGTGATCGTGATCATGATAGGACTCGTAGGCACAGAGAAAGGGAGAGAGAACGTAGCCAAGATAGAAGTCGAAGAGATAGGGATGATAGGGATGATAGAGATCATAGGCGACATCATTCAAGGAGAAGTCATAGCTATAGTCCAAGACATCGATCTCGATCTCGATCAGTAACTCCTATCAATAGAAGAAGAAGGAAGTTAAACAATTGGGATGTGCCACCACCAGGATATGAAGGAATGACAGCACATCAGGTTAAAGCTACAGGTTGGAATTTTTATTAATGTTATTATTTTTTTAAAAAAAAAAAGCTTTTCTTAATTCTTAAATATAAATAAATCAGGGTATTTTCCACTTCCTGGGCAAACTTCCACCACAAGACCATCAGCAGTTCCAAATTCACCAGTAATACCTGGAATGGACCCATCAAGGGCAGCAATGATATTAGGCATGGCACATGAACTTCCACCACAATTTAAAGTTAGTCAAGGAGCAACAGGTCCAGTTGCACAAACTGCATCATTAGCAAGACAAGCTAGACGACTTTATGTTGGCAACATTCCATATGGTATTGATGAGGTAATTGTTTTTTAAATAATGATAATAATAATATTATTATTCTTTAAATTTCTGGAATTATTCATTAATATTATTTAATCTCTGATACAATAGAATGGCTTATCAGAATTTTTCAACTCTACAATGCTTCAATTGAATATTACTACTGCATCCAGCAATCCAGTTACAGCTGTTCAAATCAATCATGATAAAAACTATGCATTTGTTGAAGTAATAATTATTTCCATTT